TGCTGGTTATCTCCCAAACAAGATACAATAATACTTAGGCCCATGTAACTGTGAGGAGTGCCCCAGGGTAACGCTGGTCTCTACAACAATTAAAGATCGCTGTTAGGGGTTGGTTGTAGACCGAAACACGCCCAGGGAGCTGGCGCCTGATTTGCAGGAAACGGACTTCCCAGTTTAATCCTGTCGAATTAACGGCATCGTCCAACCCGGTTACCGACCCACGGTAGCTGATGAATATTCAGCTCAACATACTGGAGAGACGTTGAGGAAGAGTCACGAATTCGTAAATGTCTAACTTCAACTATACAAAACATACGTCTGGCAACGGTTCAGACGATGTCTAAATCTCTACGTTACTCGACTTAATTGGCACAGAATTCACTATGTTAACACATGAACACTGATATTCACAAAATTGACTAAGTTAAACTGAATTAATAGGTGGCGGGGAGCACACGTTAACAAACCTGGAGAGACGTTGAGGAAGAGTCACGAATGCGTGATTCTCCCTCGTGTAGAGGTATATACGTGCACCCGCGGGGCAGCTTGGGCCTCCATATTCATACCAGAAGGGTCGATCTTACCAACAACATAATTTCTCTACCATTTTGGATCACTGTATACTTAGTTATGAACTCTGGTGTTCTTGACCAGGGTAATTTCCTATGTCTATTCATATAATCTAATCAGGGGTTGAGCTTGCCAGGAAAAGGTGAAATATACACGTAGATAACATTAATTCTGCAAGCTCAGGCCTGAGGCGGACAAGGAGCTATTCACGGGAAGGCGCTAGATATTGGAGATTATATCAGTTGACAAAATAGTTCAGGAGATTAATGACTTTCTTAAATAGACAACTGACACTAACTAAACTATAAACATCAGATTCTCTGATGTCGGGGCGACAAAATGATATAACTTCAGGCACGATCAGAAACTCATGGATATCCCCACGGACGACATAAAATACGCCACTCTAGCTGGCCAACTCGACACTCACTTACTTGACACGTTTTACTAACAATAAGGACAGTTGAAGCGTTCAACACCACTCACAATGGATCTTGTATGTTCCAACTGTAAACAGACATATCTAAGTTGACTCAAAACAAGGGTGTTCTCTCTCACACTCAAATTAATTTTATAGAGAGGTTGGTTTCAGTAAGTCAGAGAAAATGGGATAACGGAGGACTGAGGTGTCTTGAAGTGATGAGAAAACGGACTCCTCAGATGGAGGACTCAAACGAAAGCAGAGTTACATGTTTTGTGGGCTATTGAGTGTAATATGAATCATTTGATTTTGGCGCTAACTGACGTGTAAGACCGTGGTCGTTACAGGTGTACCTTCAGTAGTGTTTCAAACTCTTCTCTCTTATCAAGGAACGTGTCAGTATTAGTGTACATGACATTCAAGCCAGAATTTGTTCTCGGTAACGTCTCTGCTCTTAGTAGTAACTCCGGCCCCCTTCCATTCTCAGAAGCTGCGGCATTTGCTAAAGACACTGTATTTTGCAGGGTGTGGTTAGAAATGTCAGTGTTTACACGGCGCTCGCCTCCTCCCGGCTGGTAGGCGGAGCTGGTGCCACCTCCCTGGTGGGGATAGAGCAGGTGGAGGGTGCACTGCTGCCCACTGGCTCTGTGTCAGCACACTTGCTTCCACTACCCTCCCCCTGAATATAACCCATGTACACCCATCTCCGTTCCTCCTTGACTCCTCCCTCTTCTACTTCAAGTCCTGCAGGAGCTTCTTGTTCTGTTCCCTCTGCATTACCGTGCAATGTGGGTGAATGAATACACTTCGAAATGCCTCGCTCCTTGCTAAGTTTTTTGCCTGCCGAATAACCTCCCATTTCTCCTCCTCACTGACTAGTGTGGATCCTGAGGGGGCGAGGCTTATCCCTCTGCTTTTGTCCCAGCCTCCTCACATCCTGAGGGGTTGATGGCATCTTCAGAACCTCTGTACAAGTATTCTTAAACTGCATCTTATCATGTGTTATCCTACTCTCAGTTCCCTCCACCTGGTTCTCAGGGACTCCAAAAACTACTACATTGTTCATGCGCTGGAAACGTTCCCGTTTTTCCTCCTCTCCCTAAACAGTAGGTCCGCTAATTGTCATTTCTTCGACGCACTTCTTCAGAGTACTTAGCTGGTGTAGAACCTGTTCTGATCCTGCATTACTCTCCGCCACCTCCCGTGGCCGTGTTATGGCCTCAGCACACTTAGTTGTTTCTTTTGATTTGATATTTGCATATTTTGCTTTACTTGTGATATTTAATGTACTTTTTTAGCTAACTTAATCAATACTGAATGTAAATGTCATTAAATTACTTATTTTATATGATAATCTTCTTATCCCTTTCATAACTTTAATTTGTCTGTCACAAACAGTGATTCTTGTGTGTGTGCTCCTTACTTGATGCATCCACGTATTTCTACCCCTAAATTATTCACTCTGTATTTTTACTTGTCAACTTTGCCTTTCCTCAATATTGTGGGTAGCAAGGAGGGACATCACAGTATGTATGTATGTATATATGTATGTGGCCAATATTACCCAGTTTCCCTCAGGAACAACATTGTATATATACGTTTTCTACAAGTCTCGCTGAACAGAGAGAACATTAAGATAGGAGAGACTTACCTGGTGGTCAACACAGTACAGTACAGTACAGTAGACACTCAGCAATATCTTTGTAACCGCCCAATGAGCGACTGTTGGATAATGAGACCCTTGCACGTAGGACTCGATTGTTCATTATTCGGTCAAAACCTGCTGAGTACAAATTACATATGTTACATATGAGATAATTAATTCATTCGTACGTTCCTTCACTATTAACAACTACATATGACATATTTGAGTAGAGTGGGGTGTTAAACCATATAAAAAACTTACGTGTTTCGGGTCTAATGTAGGACTTATTCGCACCCTGACTTGTTAGCTCACTGGACGGCTAGAGACTGTCTTCTGAACCCCACAGGGAGCGAGTCAGCCCGAGGCGAGGGCCATCTGTTTCACATTTAACATCTCAGCAAAGTTCGTTGTCAACACTCTGTCTCTCTCATGTCTCTCTTTCTCTCTCTCTCTATCCCTCTCTTTCTCTCTCTTTTCTAGTTTATCCTACTGTGGCGGTAACACTCCCCCTGTTGAGCTTGCTCGAAACCCATTGTCTGCCGGGAGTTTCACTCTCTGACTCCCTCCAATAGGCAGAGCTTTGTCACTGGACGTATTAACACTGAGTCCTTCGTCTTCACTTTGGCACGCCGCACCAGGCCATCATCACCTGGTACCACCTTCAATACCCTTCCTAGCATCCATTTTCTCCTTGGGAGAGGAGGTCCAGATTTGATGACGATTTCCCCAGTGCTTCTGTCGCCGCTGGAGTGTCGGGAGATATTCCTTCACCCACCTCTTCCAGAATTGGTCTGCAATGAATTGGGCATGCTTCCATTTTCTTCGGTACGCTTCTGCTATGGAGTGATCGCCTTCAGTGGGCAGGGTACCCGCGTGCGTTCGCAGTAGGTGAAGCGGTGTGAGTGCTTCTAGGTCTCTCGGGTCGTCGGATGCTGGGGTGATGGGCCTCACGTTGACAATCTCTTCCACGGCACAGAACAGGGTGTTGAGTCGCTCGTTGTCTAGTGCCTGTGTGCCCAATACCCCCTAGAGAACTTTCTTCATTGTGCGGATCTGACGCTCCCATACTCCACCCATGTGAGAGGCAGTCGGAGGGTTGAACTCCCATTTTATTTGTCTCTGGAAGAGTGTGTTCCTAACATTATCACTGCTGTTCCACTTACTCACCGCCTCCCGAAGTTCTCTGTTCGCTCCAATCATGTTGGTTCCATTGTCGGATCTGATGAGCTTGGGAGGTCCTCTGTGGGATGTGAACCTCGTCATGGCGTTGATGAATGAGTCTGTGTTCAGTGAGGTGAGGACTTCCAGGTGTATAGCTCGGGTGGCCAGACATGTAAACAAGCATCCCCATCTTTTCGCCCGGGCCTGGCCTTGTTTAACCATGAAGGGACCAAAACAGTCGACTCCGGTGCAGGTGAATGGCCGATCTTCTGGATGTACCCGGTCCTCTGGCAGGTCGGCTTGGCGTTGGTGGGTAGGCTTCCAATTGCGTCTTCGACAAATTACACACGTACTCGATCGATCAACTTAAGGCACTTGGGTATCCAATATGTCTCGCGTAGTGCTGCTCAAGTGTGCTCGTGTCCTGAGTGGCCAACCCTGGTCGAATGTACCTCTTGTACGATAAGTTCTGTGGTTTTGCCCCTGGGTAACAGTATGGGGTTCCTTTGGTCTGGATGGGGAGCAGCACGCTTCAGTTGGTCGCCTACTCTGATCAGGCCGTCTGCACCCAGGTAAGGTTCCAGTCTGCTTACGTCACCAGTCCTGACGGAGCGTCCTCGTTCCAGCGCGTCCATCTCGTGGGGAAATCCCTTCCTTTGTATCAGGCTCAAGACAGCTAATATTGCCTCATCCAACTCGCTGATCTTCAGTCGATCTTCTTGGTGACGTTCTTCCTTTTGGATAGCTAAAGCGCCACTGTAGGAACCTCCTGAGCCACGCCACATCGTTCAGTAGCTTATGCCATGAGGAGTACCTCACCCATAGCCCTTTTAGGGTACTCTCCCCCTGCTCAGTGCTCGTTGCCAGTACTGTTGCTTCTCCCTTTACCTCCGGGTCTCCACATGCAAGGTTAGGAATCGGCTTTGGGTTCTTTGGCCAATATTTTATTATTATTATTATTTTTATTGTTATTATTATTTTTTAAATTTATTTATTTTTTTTATTTTTTTTTTCCAACAAAAGAAAGGGGGGTCCCTGAATCCATCTGCAGTCCTTGTTCAATTCTGCCCCATGCAGTCCACGGCTGTCATCATCAGCTAGGTTTTGGTTGGAGCTCACGTGTCGCCATTGTTCTGCGTCAGAATTCTCATGTATCCTTGCAATTTGGTTTGCCACAAAGGTATGGAAGCGCCGTTCTGTGTTTCATATGTAGTGAAGGGTGACCATGCTGTCTGTCGAGAACACTGATCTGTCGATCTGCAACTCTAGTTCTTCTCTCAGTTGTTTGTCTGCTTTGGCCGCTAACACTGCCGCACATAGCTCGAGCCGAGGTATGGTTTGCTGTTTCAGAGGAGCTACCTTGGCTCTGCCACACACAAAGGAGGTAGAGTGGGCTCCATCTCCACTTGTGATCCTGAGGTAGGATACAGCCCCATATGCTTGCTGGGAGGCGTCGCAGAAGTGGTGCAGTTGTACTGTAGGTTTTGGATTTGCACATTTAGGTTGGTAACATCGAAGGATGCGTACTTGGGACAAGTGGTGAAGTTCATTTAGCCACTACCGCCAAGCAGCTCTGTTGTGTTTGGTCATTGCTCATCCCACCTGATAGTTGGTCGTCTGTCCACCACAGGAAGTGCAGGATGTCTCGATGCTCAGGCAGTACTCGTACCTGGTGGAACATAGCCTCGATATCAGCCATGAGTGCCAACTTTTCTTGTCGGAAGCTAATAAGGACTCCCATCAATTTGTTGTTGAGGTCTGACCCTTGCATCACTTGGCTGTTCAGGGACACTGACTCATACGTTGCTGCACAGTCAAAAACTGTTCTCAACTTCTCGGGCTTATTTAGGTTCAATACTGGGTGATGTGGGAGATACTCGCCCATTTATGGTCCTTCCTAGAAGTGTGCGCACCGCGAACGGCTCTCCGTTCTCACCGGTCCTTACCTCTAATGTTGTTAGGGCTTATGGTATATCCAACCCTATCTAGAGATCCATTCTTTCCGGTGCATTGAGTGATGTGGTTCCTTGGAGGTGCCTCCACTTGGCAACGGCTCTGGTGTCCACAACCTAACTAGGATTCTGGGAATGTTGATGGATCGACTTCTTCTTATTCCGATGCTAGTCACCTTCAGATCGATCTCTTTGGCCTTCACGCTCTTCGTCTCCTTCAGGATCATGCCTATGGAGATGGAAACAGACTTCCCTGTTATTCGTAGTCGGTTAGCTAGGCTCTCGGTGCAGGAAGGCCTGTTGCTGACTGAGTCCAAGAGTGCTCCGGTGATCACTGTTGTATTCGTTTCTTGCCTTATCTCCCCGACCTTGACCTTTAATATGGGGAGTGCAACTCTGCCTGGATCTGCTAGTCATATGTCTTTTTTTTTTGCACAGGATGTAAAGGGGTGCCCAATAAACTAGCCCCCATCGGGGCAATAAAAAAAATCTAAAAATCTCATATGTCGTTGTAAGGGCGGAAACGATCTTCCTGCTGGTTACCGCTACTAACTCGCTCGTTTGCTGGTGCAGACGACACTTGGGGCGGTTGGACAGAGGTGAGAACGGCAGCGACTATCTGGGTCACAGGCAGATTCAACCCAGCCGCCATACAGTCACTATCTAGCTACCCCGCTGTCCGTCAAATTCTGGCTGTGATCTCATCATAGGTCCTGGACTCGTGGGCTGTGTTCCCAGACCTTCACCTATCGACTGTCAATTCTCTGGTCATCTACCACGACAGCATACCACGACTGCCAGTTCATCTCATTCCGTCTGTGTCCCGGTGTTCTCCTGCCATTTCAAGACGTCGCTCGAGTGTGGAGTTGAATGGACGCTTCCCTACCCTGAGTGTGCATCACCGTGTTCCAGTACCTTCCCCCAGGGCCACTGCCGTAGGAAATATTTGTTCATTGTTTGATTCTATCAGTTGTTGACTCCCATTAATTGTTTGATTCTATTAATTGCTGACTCCCATTAATTGTTTGCTCCCTTAAATTGTTTGCTTCCATTAATTGTTTGACTCCCGTAATTGTTATTTGATGTTTGTTGAGTGGTGTCAGAGTTTTGTGTTATATTTTTATTGTAAAGAGATGTCAATCTCAAACGGTTGTTTGTTATTCCTCAGAAAACCATGGTCCTTGACTTTCCTTTATTAAGATCCTGATTAGCCTGGTAAGGGATTTCTATCCCCAAAGTCCCAGGCCTTTACAGTCGTAATCTTCGAGCCCTTCACACTGGTTATTTTCTCGATCGTACCTGGGTCTCCAGCACCTGGGTCGGTGCTGGAGGTTAGTACAGCGTCCTTTCTGGGATGGTCAAAGTATTACAATATAAGTGTGTCAAATGAGGAGTGACTGATCCACATGTAATTTAAGGTTTTTGAAATATGTAGTTAAAATAAAAGATATAGATGGTGTATGGTGGAAGCATCGTGGTCTAGCACACACACACATAAGCGCTGTAAACGTTGTGTGGATTCACTGGGTGGTTTGGAAGTGTTTATTTCCATTCATAATTTCGTAACTACAACCTATGGTAATTTTTCTTCATGTTTGTATGTATATTACGTATGTTGTATGTATGCCATGTATGTACTCTATATATACACATTATTTCTCTAGTCAGTAGCGTGTGGCAATGCCCCTGTTTCATGTCACCACACGCTTAGATAAATGTGCCTGGCGACATTTGGAAGCTGATAGTATACCACTTACCACATGTCGCCTGAGAGGTCAGAGTGAGGTCAGTTGACCCTATAGGAGTGTAAGGACTACCTGCGCTTGTAATCGCACCCCTGTATATTTCTGTTAATAAGAACCTACAGAACTCTACAGGTGTTTATGCTCGCTCCTGTAGTTAGAACCAAGTACCCCGAACATCTCCATGGCGCAGTGAGTATCAAGTGATTGATTAAGTGGAAATAAGTGCGTTCGTGTAAAATCAAGGCCAGTAGACCTCCTCCGTCAACTCCGTCATCCGTCGCCATTGCCTCCCATAAAAATTCGTTTGAATAACCAACGAGTTTTGAGCAGTGTGCAGTGACTGCAATTTCCTGTGAAGTGTCATTAAGTGCCCCTCGTGTGTGTGCATTGTTAAAGTGTGTGTCCTTGTTTTAAAGGATTCCCTAAGGTGGAAGGCTGATATAGGAGGGTGTGTCATAGGAGGGAAGATCAGCTAAAACTAATGGCCCATCACTTTTTTGGTAGATTTTAGTGTATATAAACAGAAAATAATTTCAGTTTCAATATTTTGCAATCTTTTGCTAGATAAATTTTAGCGTTAAATTTATCAAAAATCTAACGTACAGCTGCATTAGTGCATTACAATTAAATAGTGAACATTGCTTTCTGACTTCATTCTTTAACAACCCAACTAACAATATTTTTTTCTGTTTCAGATTCTGATGCATTTATAAGTTGATAATATTTGCGATGGCTGCTTGTGTGAGGACGAGGAACCAAAAATCCAGCCATCTCAGTCACTCTCGGGACAATTTTATCTGCACCACAGTTGATCCCGGTGGAGATGAAATAAGGCACACTCCTATTAGGGTGGGTTATGAGGGAAGATTGCCAAACTAATGGGCCCATCACTTTTTGGTAGATTTAGTATATAAACAGAAAATAACAACAATATTTTGCAACCTTTGCTAGGGTAAATTTTAGTGAAATTTTATCACACCCAATGTGCCAGCTGCATTAGTATTACAATTAAATAGTGAACATTGCTTTCTGACTTTACTTTCAACAACCCAACCATAAATAAATATTTTTTTCTGTTTCAGATTCTGAGTATTTATGGGCTGATAGCTACTTGTGATGGCTGCTGCCAGGACGAGAACCAAAATCCAGCCATCTCAGTCACTATCTAGTCTGGGAGAGAGCCCTGGGAAGTCGGAGTTGCCTACATTGGAGAGATGCTTGAGATACGGTGTTTTAATCAGGCAACCAGTGAAAGAACCAAAGAACTTACACACAAATGCGAGATGCCAGTGATATGACCAAAGCTGTCTTGGCACAGTACACTCTGCCACTGGGCTCAGTCTGCTCCAGTCATAACAAAGTCAGAAGAAGATTAGGTGAGAGACTGCCAGTCAGGGTTAAAAAGGCAAGAGATATCTCTTGGGAGAGGAAACGAAAGTTATGACAGCTTTGCCAAGCAACTGGACCCACATTTAATATAATTACTTGTAAGCCCAATTGTCTTGGTCCTGAGTTTGATGACCGTGACCAAATCCGAGGCCCACATCTCCTGTATTTGGCAAGCGTGAACTGAAGATTCTTGTGATCGAACTGGCATTTGTCAGCACAGAGAGAGAAGACTGGCGTATAGGGCTCTCATGATTTCTTTGTAGCCAGATATTCCGGAGTCTAAGAGACAGGAGGCTGCCACAGAGAGACAGAAGAGGAGAAGAGAGCGTTGAGGAAAGAGACTCTGAGAAGGCCTAGGGTGAGTAAAAGGCCGATGATTGAGCCGTTGATTCAGAGCCAATGACTTCCCCATGGCTGATCCGGAGGTTGACCAGAGAATGGGTGACGTCTTAACCCAGAAAATAACACTGATCCCAAACTTCCAGGCATAAGATTCGAAATAGGAAGCGATATCCCGGAGTATATCACAGCATAAAGTGACAATCACACCGGTTTCTAACGAAATCAGAGATAGCAACAGCGTCGGGTTGACGGTGGTTTGATAACACCTGATGATGTCTAATCACCTGGGTGATAGATCATACGCAAGGAGGAGCTCTGGTAAGAAACTTGTCAGTAAACTCCAGAAGATGAGTTTGATATGATAAGAGAAAATGGAATCAATTGGTTTGTTCTTTGATGGGGAGGCGGGATGACACTAGTGTTCATGAAAGTTGGAGATTCTACGTTGTTCCCTGCCATGGTGAAGGAGGAACACTACCCAGCTGCAAAAAAATTGTGATAAAGGCTTGTAGGTATTTCACCTTGCAGAGAAAGATGACACGAAACCAGCTGGAGAGTGGCAGATAACATTAGAACTGGCTCCAGAGAGAGGAACGTGTGACCTAACCTGCAGGCCATTAGAGGACAGCACCAACACGAACACAGGTGCAAGGGCAGTTGCACAGTGAGGAGAGTGAAGATTAAGAAGCTAATCTGGAATTGTGACCTACACCAACAAGTTGCCACTCAGACATCGATCCAGACTGATAGCAAGACTCTGATCTTAAACAAATGCTGACTCTACACTGTTAAATAAATCCGAGCTTTAGAAAAATCACACATTGGCCTCCACTCGTTGACTTACACAACTGTCATTGACGACCTGAGTACTGACCAGAACTATAGTTACAATTGAAAAAACAACAAACTGGTCATACTGATAGACTTGTACCTGCAGATAGGCCCATCTCACATTCTAGGTCTCCTCACAGCTCTAGGTTCTAGAATTTGCAGCCAACATAAACTGAAAGGAAACCAGCTTCA